CGAGAGCCCAAGGCTGAGGATCCCAGCAGACAAGGGAGGGTGGTGGTGGATGTCGATGGGCCTGGGGAAGGCGGGGTCACAACAACAGAGTGCCCTGGGCTGGGTGGCTAGGGCCTAGCAGAGAACTATGAGACACGCAGATCCTGAGGGAATGAAATATGTTCTCCAGAAGGCCGCTACCCCAGTGCTCTGGGGCCCTTGTCTCTGCACACATGGCCATCCCATCGTCGCAGACCCTTGTTCACTGGTGTCCGACTCTTCTTGCCCCCATATGGGGTTTTCTTGGCAGAGACACTGGAGCGGTTTTGCCATTTCCACCTCCAGCCCATTTTACAGATGAGGAAACTGAGGCAAACAGGGTGAAGTGACCTGCCCAGGGTCACACAACTAGGAAGTGTCTGAAGCTGGATTTGAATTCAGGAAGATGAATCTTCCTGCCTCCAGGCCCAGCACTCTACTCACTACACCACCTAACCAAGCTGCCCCCTATGTAATAATAGTTAATATTTATATTGTGCTTTATGGTTTGCAAAGTATTTTACACATATTCTGTCCCTTGAGCCTAACAACATCCCTATTATTTCTATTTCCATTTTATAGAGGTGGAAATTGAGTTAAGCGACTTGCCCAGGACCACACAGCTAGTGTGTGTCTGAGGCTAGGAAGATTAGAACTCAAATCTGAACTGACTCTAAGTCCAGCGCTCTGGTCACTCCCCTAGCTCAGCTGTGAGCTCCTTGAGGGCAGGAATTGTCTTTGTGCCTGGTACCAAATAAGGCCTTAATCAATGCTTTTTGATTGTTGGAGAGATAGATAGGTAGGTGAAATGGTCCTGCTATTATGGAAAAGAATTTGGAATTATACCCCAAAAAAAGTTACTAAACTGTACAGATCCAAAAAAGATTTTAAAATAAATAGACAATCTCCACTCTGCAATCTCCAACAATCTCCAAAAAGATTTTAAAATAGAAAATACATAATCAGACAGACAGATAGCATGTATAGATGTATGGACAGACAGATATATGAGATGGATAGAAGGAGAAGAGAGAAAGAAGAAGAGAAAGGAGAGAGAGAGAGAGGAGGAGAGAGAAAGAGAGAGAGAGAGACAGAGAGAGGTGCAAGTCCCGTATAAACAGTATATTTATAGCAGCACTTTTTTGTGATTACAAAAAATTAGAAACAAAGTTGGGGTTTCATATGTTGAGGAATGGCTGGAAAAATCATGGTATAGAAAGGTCAATATCTTGGATATCTTTGTTCTATGAGAAATGATGGATTCAGACAAATTTGGAAAGACTTGTATGATCTAATACAGATCAAAGTTAAGCAGAAGCAAGAGAAAAAATGCACATGATAGGATGGGAAAACAAGTATTTATTAAGTACCTACTGTGTGCCAGTCACTGTGCTAAGAGCTTTACAAATATTGTTTGATTCTCACAACAACCCTGTGTTTTATTCCCATTTTACAGATCAGGAAACTGAGGCCGACAAAGGTGCAGTGACTTGCTGAAGTTCCATTTGAACTCAGGTCTTCCTAACTCCAGGCCCAGAACTCTACTACTGCACGCGCCATCTAGTGGCCTCAGTTGTGATGACTACAACAATGTAAATAAATAGAAAGGTTGACTTGGCCATGGAATCAAAGGCAGACCAGCTCCAGCCTCCCCCTCTAGGCGGAAAGGTGGTGGGCAATGGGTGTAGAAAAGCCAGAGCATCCACATCCGGAGAAAGAACTATGGAGTTTGAACGCAGATCGAAGCAGACTATTTGCTATTTTTTTTCTTCTGTTGAGTTTTGTTTCCTCTTTCTGGTGGTTCCTCCTATTGGTTCTAATTCTTACTTACTACATCACTAAGGTGAAAATATGTTTAGTAGGAATGTATATGTATAGCCTGTATCAGATTGCGCGCCATCTTGGGGAGAGATGTGGGGACAGAGGGGGAGAAAAATTTAAAACTCAAAAGCTTATGGAAGTGATTGTTGATGAATCAAAATAAATTAATAAAGTTAAAAAAAAAAAGAAAAAGAAAGAGGGAAAAAAAAAAGCATGAGCACCGTCCTTATTGGTTACAAGGGAGGGCTCGAGGAGGGGGGCGGGGGAGAGTCATAACAAGAAAATAATAACAATCATAACAGCTGGCATTTGGAGCGAGCAAAGCCCTTTAATTACAGTCTCATTTAATGCATACTGTGATCCTGAGAAGAGCACAAATAGAGCGGTTTTTGCTTGAAAAAAGGTCAATAAAGATGACGGCTAAGAAGAGGTCACTGGATTAAGTAAGAGGCTGTTGGTGATGTTAGAGAGGAGTCTCAGGAGAGTGGTTGGGACTGTGAATGTGTGTGTGTGTGTGTGTGCATGTATAAGTGTGTATATGTATGTGTGTGTATATGTGTGAATGTGTATGTAGGTGTGTGTGAGTGTGTATGTAGGTGTGTGTGAGAGTGTATGTATGTGTGAATGTGTATGTAGGTGTGTGTGAGAGTGTGTGTATGTGTGCATGTGTATGTAGGTGTGTGTGAGTGTGTGTGAGTGTGTATGTAGGTGTGTGTATGTGTGAATGTGTATGTAGGTGTGTGTGTGTGTGTATGTGTGAATGTGTATGTAGGTGTGT